GTGCCCGCCTGCACCGTGTCTGTGAGCCCTCGAGGGCGGGGCCTGGGTCTGCCTGTCTCCTCGTGTGCCCTCCCGCCCGCAAGGCGTCTGTGAACCCTTGAGGTGGCTGGGGCTGGCTTTGTGCTGGCGTGCCCGCCTGCACCGCGTCTGTGAACCCTCGAGGGAGTCCTGGGTCTGCCTGTCTGCCTGTGTGCCCACCTGCCAGCATGGTGTCTGTGAACCCTCAAGGCGGGCTGGGTCTGCCTGTCTGCCTTTGCACCTGCCCGCAAAGCACCTGTGAACCCTCGAGGGGGGCCTGGGTCTGCCTGTCTCCTGGTGTGTCCACCCACAACGGCATTTGGAACAGCAGGAGCCACATCCCTGCAGATTTGCCACAGACCCAATGCCCAGACAAGTCTCTGAGGATGCAAGGCGGGCGCTGAGGGGGAGAGTGGGGGGGACAGGGGTCTGACCGTGGGGCCCCCATGTGATGCTCAAGAGAGCCACCCCCCTCTGGCCACTCCCTGTGGTGTTGGAATCCTCACCCCAAGGAAGAGGCCTCAGGTTCCACGCGAAGCCATCCCTGAGTGGGCTGTGCCCCATCCCACCCGACCTGGGCCATCAGTGCTGGGGAGAAGGTAGGGCCAGGGAAGACATTTGGGCCTAAAGTGGCCACAGGTCACGGCCCCCTGCAGGTACCCCCACTGCCTTCCCTACCCTGCCCCACCTCATGTGATGTGCACGTGTGTGGGTGGTGTGCTTGTGTGATGTGTGTGTGGGAGGGACGGGAGAAGGCACTGCAGGGCCTGCTATCCACCTGTGCTCACCACCCTCTGCCGGGGCACCTGCCCCCGCCCCGAGCTCGTTCCTGGGTTCCTCTCCCTGCAACATGGCACTCTCAGCATTCACACCCTCAGGCTCCCGGCTTTGATGTCACCAGCACAAGCCCCAAGCCTTCTCCCTTCATAGAGTTCTGCCCGGAAGGTGCCCTCTCCACGCATTCCCTCCTCCTGCCCAGCAGTTCCCCCTGGAGGGGAAGGGATGAGCTGGGAAAGCACTGTCCCAACCCTCAAGAGCACATGGGGCATGTGGGACATGCAGTGACTTCTCGACCCCCCTCAGGAGTTCTCGCGTTTCCACGAAGAGATCCTGCCCATGTTCGACCGACTGCAGAACAACAGGAAGGAGTGGAAGGCACTGGCTGACGAGTACGAGGCCAAGATGAAGGCTCTGGAGGAGAAGAAGCAGGAGGACAGGGTGGAGGCCAAGAAAGGTCTGGCTCTGTGTGGCCTGCGGGGCAGGGACTTGGTGATGCTCCCAAGGCAACGTGAAAAGACAGGGCGCATAGCAGAGTTAGACTGGAGAAAAGCAGAGCTGCTTTGAAGCAGCCCCAAGGCAGATGCGCCTGGCTCCTCCCGCAGGGCCACACTGTGGGGAGGGGCCGTGGTGCGGGGACAGCAGCTGCTGACTCCACCTCCGTGGTAACCCAGGCAAAAAAACTTCCTCCATTCCTAGCCAGTGAACCCCATTTTTCACTACAGAAGTGATCATGTGTTATGTCCTGCATAAAGGACTCCGTTGTCACAAGTCAGCACACTCCCAAGTTCAAATCCCAAAGGCATCGTGGCCTTGCCATTTGCCACACTTGGCTACCTTAGCTCTGGGGTCTGGCTTGCTATTCTCACTATGCCATGCTCTTCCCACTATCCCACGCTGTTCCCACTATCCCACGCTGTTCCCGCTACCCCACGCTGCTCCCACCACCCCACGCTGCTCCCGCCACCCCACGCTGCTCCCGCCACCCCACGCTGCTCCCGCCACCCCACGCGGTTCCCGCCACCCCACACGGTTCCTGCCACCCCACACGGTTCCCCTACTCCACGCTGTTCCCGCTATCCCATGCTACATAAACAAGGCGACTTCAAGGCTGTGGGAGGCCAGGATGAGTGCAGTCAGCGCACGGTGTCAACAGGGGATAAAGCATTAAGAAAGGCTCAGCCAGGCTAATCGGCTTGGGCTGGCCATAGACCTCAGCACTGTCCTTTCTCCTGCAGGAGTTGGTAGAGGTCACACCAGGCAGGAGGGAAGGAACGGGGCTGGTGTGCACACGTGGTTCCCACTCACCATCTTCTGTCTTCTCTTGCAGTAGGCACAGAAATTTGCAATGGCGGCCCAGCACCCAAGTCTTCAACCTGCTGTATCCTGTGACACCGGTCCTGTGGGACCCAACAGCTTCCTCAGTCTTCACCCACAAGGACTTGGGTTCTAACTGTGGCCGTTTGCTACAAGACGTTAGGAAGCCCAAGAAAATGACTGAGGATCATTTTGGATATTTTAATTTTTTTTTTTTTTTTTGAGATGGAATTTTGCTCTGTTGCCCAGGCTGGAGCGCAGTGGCACAATCTCAGCTCACTGCAACCTCCACCTCCCGGGTTCAAGTGATTCTTGTGCCTCAGCCTCCCGAGTAGCTGGAACTACAGGCGCCTGCCACCATACCCTGCTAATTTTTATATTTTTAGTAGAAGCAGCATTTCACCATGTTGGCCAGGCTGGTCTCGAACTCCTGACCTCAGGCGACCCCCTGCCTCGGCCTCCCAAAGTGCTGGGATTACAGGCATGAGCCACTGCGCCCGGCCTAAATTTTTTTTAAGGTTTGTGTTTTTATAACCTGAAGTCAACTGTGAATAAACAGTGTAGCCCACATTACTCAATAGTTACCACTGGGAGAGCTTTCTTTGAAAAGGGTCGGTGAACTCTGAAATCATTGAGAACACTTGCAGCCACTATTTACATCTGTGTATACTGGTAAACAGATAGACACAGAGATGCTGTTTGGCATCTGGTTTAGGAAAACACACATGCTTAGAAATTAAGAATAAAATAAACAGAAAACAATTTGCCCATTATTTGTGGTAAAGTTACAGCAGAAGCCACACTACTTTTGACCCATCAGAAAATTCTGCCAGAAAGGTTAAGACCAGAGTAGGGCGGTGATCAGACTTAGTGGTCTGAGTGGAAGACATCTGTAATGAATGCCATGCAGAGTGGCTCTGAAGGCTCCAGACGGCACCAGAAGGGCAGGGCCGGGCTGGATGCCGAAGCCGGTGTACCCCCATGATTTAATATTGGTGAGCCTGGAGTAAAGGACAGAGGCAAAGAAGGGACTTCACAGTTGAAATGGGTATTATGTTCAGGATCTCCAACGCATGATGTGAGCTCCAAAGCACTTGCTCCCAACACTAGGTGACACCTGGATGGCGTCACTGGGGTGGGCGTGGGGGAGCAACAGACATGCCCAGCGCATCCATAGGCCTGCAGGAAGGGGATGGTTTTGTTTATTTATTTATTTTTAAAATTTTTGGATGGATTCTCGCTGTCATCCAGGCTGGAGTGCAGTGGCGTGATCTCAGCTCAATGCAACCTCTGCCTCCCAGGTTCAAGCAATTCTCCTGCCTCAATCTCCTGAGTAGCTGGGATTGTAGGCGCCCTTCACCACACCCAGCTAATTTTTAGCAGAAACGGGGTTTCACCATGTCGGCGAGGCTGGTTTAAGAGATCTGCCCACCTCGGCCTCCAAAAGCACTGGGATCACAGGTATGAGTCACCGTGCCCGGCCTTAATTTTCATCTCATTGGTCAGAGACCGCTGGTGTCCAGAGCCTGGGACTGGGATGAGGGGCCCTTAAGAGGTTCTGAGGGACCCTGCAACCAGCCCCTCTGGACCCCACTGCACTGAGCACAGGAGGGACGCCAGGACAGGATGTGAAAGCATCTTGCTCGGCCGGCGAAGTGGCTCACACCTGTAATCCCAGCACTTTGGGAGGCTGAGGCAAGCAGACCATGAGGTCAAGAGATTGAGACCATCCTGGCCAACATGGTGAAACCCTGTCTCTACTTAAAAAAAAAAAAAGAAAAGAAAAGTTAGCTGGATGTGGTGGCGCCCGCCTATAGTCCCAGCTACTCGGGAGGCTGAGGCAGAAGGATCACTTGAACTCAGGAGGTGGAGGGTGCAGTGAGCCGAGACCAGGCCACTGCACTCCAGCCTGGCAACAGAGGGAGACTCCATCTTAAAAAAAAAAAAAGAAAAAAAAAAAAGAAAGCATCTTGCTCACTCAAACCTCACCTTAACCAAATATCCTGAAAAGCTTGTAGGCTGCTTCTCCCTTTGGTCTTACATTTGCAAATGAACTTACCTTACAAACTGAGGCTCAGAAGCCTAGATGATTGCTTAAGGCACATAATTAGAACACAGCAAATTCAATCTATCCATTCAGTCTATCCAATACAAATCACCAGGCCAAGGGTTAGGGTCGTTGGCAAGCTCACAGCCAGAAGGGGTGAGAAGCCCAGAAAGCCTCCTGGGGAGGGAAGCCCTCAGGCACCACAGGCTTCCCTCCTGAACAGCTCCAACAGCATCTACCACAGGCCCCCCTCCTGAACAGCTCCAACAGCACCTACCACAGACCCCCCTCCTGAACAGCTCCAACAGCACCTACCACAGGTCCCCGTCCCTGAACAGAGCTCCAACAGCACTCAGGCCTTGTCCCCAGGAGGTCACATTGCTGGACTTTAGTCTCAGGTCTGAACTGGCCACCTCCTGGGATCAAAGGGAGAATATGTGAAGTGCTAGGCGGGGGCAAGGGTGAGCTTGGAGGACCCAGCTTCCCAACTGTAAGGGCATCAGCCAGTGCCCACCCCTCCCTATCCAGGGGTCGGGGCTGCTGACAGCAGCAGCCTAGAACTCAGAATCAAAACAACCCAGTCCCCATGAGGCCCCCAGCTGACTAACTCCATTATAGACAACCTTTGAGGATCCCTCCCAGATGCCCCAGACAGAACAGGCAGTGGGTGTCTGTCCTTCCCGCTGTGTTTGTATGATGCATTCTGGGTCTGTGATGGGCGACATGGATTAATTCTTTAGAAACCCCCTCCCTGTCTTCCACCCAACATGAACTGGAAGATGGACCAAGCTTGAGTCTAGGAATTGGACAACCAGCGACAGCAAATGAGAAGGAGCTGCAGTATAGTACAACACAGGAAGCTTTATTCTTCAATCTGCTGCTGCTCCAAAGAGAGGCTGGGAGGGTCACTCATTTAAATATGCTGTCTTCTTGGGCTGGAAGGTTAGAAGAAAACCACAAGTTACTACATTCAGGAAACCTAAAAAGTTCACTTCAGCTTCCCAGTTTTTTGTTTTTTGAGACAGAGTCTTGCTCTGTCACCCAGGCTGGAGTGCAATTGTGAGATCTCGACTCACTGCAACCTCTACCTCCCAGATTCAAGCCATTCTCCCGCCTCAGCCTCCTGAGTAGCTGGGATTATATGTACCCGCCATTATGCATGGCTAGGTTTTTTTTTTTTTTTA